CAAATCTGAGCATCGTGCATCCCTTTTCCGTTTCCCTCATCATACACCCACTCTCCTTGTCAACCACCACAAACGACGGGCCCCGAGTAACATCCGACCGCCAGGGGTATTTTGGCGACCGCCTTTCCGAACTTTTATCTTTTGCAGTTTCGTTCCTCTCTTCGCTCGCTGCACGAAAAGTCCTGCACTACGAGCGCCGCCGTCTCCGGAATCCAAAATATGGCAGCAGACGGAGACTACACGTTTAAGGAATTAGGAAAGACGTCAAGATTCGTCCTGCACTCGTATCAAGTGCTCGACCTTTGGAGACATGAACATCCCGGCAAGGAAATATCATGGAAAGACTATATGGCATGGGTGTTGTCTTCACATTTCTCCGCACAGACGACCCCACGGCCCATTCAAGTACTGCTTCAGTCCTTGTCTGGAAACGTCCTGCTGTATACTCATACGAAAGAGTCATGTACGGACATGCTGGATTCGCGATCTAATGCGAGATCGTTTCGCGTGTGTAAGAGCACGTTTGCGACAAGAGGAACTGATGGACGTGTTTGTGCTCTTATCGAGCATGTCCTGACCTCACACCTTCCTATGAGAGTTATGGCGTTGATCTGCCCTTCATTCACGTTCATCGGAGAGAGCAAGACTCGTCGCAAGTCAAGTCCTTTCCCGACTACTGAAGCAACCCCCTTTCAACAGCTGCTACACGTCTCAGCCGTGGTCAAGCTCATGGCAATTGTCAATAACAGCAGGCCGAGTAAACGAAGACGTCTGGACGCAACGCCGGATGAGGCTGTCAAAGTTCTCTCTGTACAAGGTCTAACCGATTTGCGTGACCCACTTCCGCAGAAGATTGGCTACATCATCGAGACTGTTGTCGGTGCTTGGAATTGCTTTGCAGAGTACCTCGGATTTCAAAGCTTGGAAAGGATGAGTGCACCCTACTTGAGATTGGTATCTCCCTTGGCGCAGTTTGAAGTGATTCCAACCCGAGAAGAAGGGTTTGCACCACTGTCTACGCTGGTCAAGTTTGTTGAAGACATGCCGGCAACAAACGATCGAACGAAGACCTTTACCGATGCCTTCGATCGGCCTGCAATCGTTGACAGCAACCTTCGCAAGTTTGTGGGAGACTTTTTTCAAGATTTGGAACGCGCGTTATTGTCAAGTGATCTCTACTCTGCTAAAGAAGTCAAGGAAATGTTCTTTCTGACCAAGTACGTTCGACGCAGGGACATCCTCCCCCCGAGATTCCGATCCTACTGTGCGGCATTGGTGAGGCAGGTCAAATCCTATACGAGTGAAATCGCTTCCTCAGCGGCTCTTCCCGGTGATCCTTTTCCTCCTCCTTCGCCAGGTGCAACGACGAATCTGGCTTCTGCTTCTAGTCAGGTCGTATGTGCATGGCACGTTCTTCAAGTGGTGGGGGAGGCTGAATCCACTTCAACTGCGTCGGATGAAGCCTCTCTGGAAGCTTTGAATGAGGGAGAGGACGTGCACAACGAGCGGATCGTTTTCTCTGAGATGAGGAAAGCAGCCGTGAGGATGTACAACTGCGACTTTGAATCTTTCATTGAAGCGTACGATGCCCTGACCGAAGACGAAGAGCTGCATGGAAAAGTTCAGCTTGTCCTGACGGACCCTCCTTTCAATGTCCGAAGGGACAGGGGACGCAACCATGCTGATTACGATGAAATCCGGAAAGAACAGTATGAGTCTTTCGTTAACTGCGTCGACGAGATGCTTCGTCCAGGAGGGCATGCGCTGATATTCTGCTCCGCTCAGCAATTCACTATATGGCGAGAAGCATTCACCGCCCATCCTACGACGTCTGGAGACTCATCATCATCGTCTCAAGCAAGCCAGCCCACATTTTGGGTTGCGTCCACTCCGCTGTACTGCATATACCATCCATCTGTATGCAATGGGTTCCCTGGACGCGCGACGTTTGCGCTGTCCAACATGGCAGAAGTGGTCATCCATGTGATGAAGAAGGGTCCACCGTTCAAGGAAGGGAGGCTCATGGTGAACTACAAGTGTTTCAACTACGTTCCCTCCGAGTACCCTGCGACTCGCAATGTCATTAACAATGTCATGGGCCTCGTTCCGGGAGAACGGCACATGGTCAAGATCGGAGATACCTCTCGCATGCTAAGGCCAGAGCAGAAATGCGTGTCCCTTTTGAAAGAGCTCATCTGTCGTTTCTCCCAGGCAGGAGACATTGTTGTGGACCCGTTTGCCGGAACATTTTCAACGGCTATCGCATGTTTCAATCTGGACAAGGATAATGGAGCAAGGAGATTTATTGGTTGCGAAAAAGAAGCTGTGTGCTTCGAGCACGCCAAGAAGAAGGTCATTGAGAGCTACGCGGGGGCTATTGTGAACAAGCTGGTGGACGTAGGTCAGGTCATGACGGACGACGACATCCATGGTGCAGCTCTGTATGTGCACAACAGGAATGGAAATAGAAGAAGCAGGAATGGGAAGTGGGCACCTCCGTCGGGCCTACCTCCCTACCAGACTTTTCCAGATCACATTCTAGCCTATCTTTCAACGGCCTGGGAAAGCCCTGAGTTGATTCAGAAATGTCGCAATGTTCCGCTCAACGCTTGGAAACGCGAACTACAAGGTCGTTTTCATCAGACAGACGTCCACGCCCTCCGAGCGATAGAGGCAGTTCAATTCGGCGTAGCGTTGGCGCCCTCTTCTGTTCGGCATCCGAAGGCGGGACTCGGGCTTTTTGCTACAAGAACATTCGACGTTGACGACGACATCTGCCTCTACTACGGCACGTTGGTCTATCATGACCTTATTCGGTCTAAATCGAAGAACAAGCCATACGGAGAAGGGCTTATGGGAGTGGACCGCGAACGCTTCATGACCTATGCCATGCTGGTGCCAACGCAGGGACGAGTTTTTCAGAATGTGACGAACCTTATCGATGGACAAAAGGCCATTTCAATCGTCCCTTCCAGATTTTGCGTCGGGGCTTTCATCAACGACCACCGCTATCACCCAGATGATAAGGATCACAAAGATTTTGTTGACGGTCGTCTCGCCAATCCGAGAAACGTCAACGTTGCATATGATCTGTCGGTGTCAAAAGTGACCTCGACGTCTGCGTTGCAGAAACACACGCTGATGCGCGTCAAGGCATTGAGGCTTATCAATCCTGGAGAGGAACTGTTCGCCGACTACATTTGAGATATCTTCATAGAGTAGGCGACTGTTGGACTCCATTCACAATAAATTTTGTGACCGCATCTTCCTTGTCACGGAGAGGATAGAGGAGAGAGGAGAGAGGAGAGAGAAGAGAGAAGAGAGAAGAGAGGGAGGGACTAGTTTGCCTGTTGCGCCTTGAGTTATCTTCCTATTGAGAGTTTATTGAGTATAATGGGAGTTTTGCTTTTTAGCGTTTTGCTATTTAGCGTTGAAGGGATATGGATCGGTGGGGGTGGCTTTGGGTATGATGTACTGTATGTAAGCCGCACTGAGCGTGCGGTAAGTGGTTAAAAGTGGACATATAAAAGTATGGCAAAACGGTGCTGGTTCTCGAAAAGTAATGGCAATGCAGGCGGCAATGCTTCGCAATGGAAAACGGTGGTTTTATAATGTATAATGGCGGAGGGAGAACATACCTGACCTGAAACGGCAAATGATGTATACTGCAGAAGCGAATGGCCAAGGTAGGGCGCTGTCGGGTGCGACACACTCGTAAGGATGGGTATCGACGGCGGTGGTGAATGTCCGACGACGACGGGAATATTCTTACATACATTTCGCAACAAAATGCCGAAATATTCGCCTCTTCGTATTGTCACCGCCAAGTTTGGTGTACCGATTACCGATGAAGTCCGAGAATGGACCGCAGCCGCCAATTAATTTCGCTATGTGTATCGTTTCGAAAAAATAGGAGTTGAAATGGACTGTTTACAATGAAAATCCAGGATGTGTGACACCGAGTTCCATTAAAATTGTGATGTGTACTGCTATCCCAGAAATTATGGTGTGCTGACGACCGAAAAAGACTATAATGTAAATTGTGTCCAGTGATTCGCTTTCATGTTGTGAGGATTATGTTGACTCATTGCCATTGCATGAAATATGCGGACCTCCTGCCAATACGATTTGACATATCCACCACTTTTTCTTATATTCTTGATGTCATAACAATGAAAGTCCTTAATCTCTCTTCGTATTCTACCAAATGATATGAAGGATGTCATGTGTGCCACCATTTCCCAAATGTCGCAACATTAAATTGTCACCGCATCTTATGTCAAAAGGGAGACTGTTCACCGAAATACATTTGAGATCTGTGACAAATCACGAGACCCATAGGCGAGCGAATGTCAATGAAACAGGTAGAGAACCTCAAATAGGCCTACATGTCGAGGAGAATATAAAAAATATATTATAGGAAGTTGGGAAAGGAAGACACCTCTGTGTGACGGTCGTATCCTGCCGAAAAGTACAGTACAGTACGGTACAGTGAACAGCACTGTATGATATTGTTCCGATGTGACATGGGCGTGACCCTTCTTACAGGTGGCTGTCCACTCACCTCCGTGGCAGGCTCCCACACTAATTTAGCCCGGGATCAACCTTGCAGCAGCACCACCAAAGCATTCAGCTTTAGGCATTTGGATCCGTCCCTAGCCTGGCGAGCGCAGGGCGTCCTAAAGGGCGTTACAGAAAGTTTCCTAGACCAGCAAGGAGACCAGCAATTTGTTATTAGAGATATGTAACGGCAGAAACATGTAGCATTGCATTCCATACGTTTTGATCATTCTCTAACTGTAACGGCAGTATTTTTGCAGGTTATGCATCGACAGCAGGAGAGATAGTTCCATGCTCGACTATTGCGATAATTATGTAAACTTCACCCTCCGCCATTCTTCCTGCCCTAAATACAAGGTTCTCGTAGTCCCTGACCCCTCTCATTTCCTCTTCCCACTTCTTCCTCTCTACAAAGTTCTGTCTGTCGTCCGTTGCGCATCATGAATGGCCCTACAGTTGTATACAATGAGCAACTCGATCTCCCATTTTGCGTACGGTGCAAACACGCAGTCGAATTTGATGGTGTAGTGAAGCATATGAAGAGAAACCATTTAATTTCGCATGCAAGCAGCATTCAGATTGCTGGCGAGATTGGAGACGCCCGAAGCCTGTCTCCCATTGTTAATGCATCGGCTGCTGAGATGAGACACAAATACTTGGCAACGACTGTGGTTGAATATCGTTCCGGACCTGCCCTTCCGCCTCTGGAAGGGTTTCCCACGGCACTGTGTCACAAGTGCCCCGACTGCGGATATCTGGCACGGAAAGGCGCTCCCGTTCGTCGAAATTGTGCTGCGAGTAAAGCGTGCAAGGGACATTTATCTCGTCAGCTCGATGAGGTGAAGGGACAGGCCATCTTTGGCGGAAACAAGTGCAGATACTATCAAGTCGTAGAAAACGGCGGTGACCTCTTTTCCGATGTCCTCGCAGAATCCATGAGGAAACTGCAGGGAGCCACTCCAGCGAGTACTGCCATCAACGAGGCCGGGATTTCAGAGATGAGCGCATTACTTTCAGTTTTTCGCTTCGACACTCACTTAAAGCGTTGTGGGCTTAAACTTTCTGAAGCCAGCTCCCTGTGCAAGAGTACTGACAGCCGTATACGCACACTTTCACGCGAGGTGGTCACAGCGTACCACAAGCAGGCCTTCGACATAACCGAACAGAAGGTTTGGATCAAGTCACACACGTTTATGGAGTCGGACCTCAACATTGCTGTTAGTCGGAAAACTGTGGAGCACTATGACAACAGAATGGTCCAAGTACTGGAATTCGTCTTCAACTTGATGTCTTCCAGCAGGCAGTTGTATCAATATATACCTCCCGATGCCATTCGGAGTGCAGAATCTCTGCGAGCAGATTCCAATGCACCAATGGCATCCAAGTTGCGAAACTTCCATGATATCCTACAGAACCTCCTTTTTCGTCACAACGAAAGCAACGAACTAATCGCCTTGTTCATCTCATGCTACAGTGTCATTCTCGATCGCTCAAACGAGTACCGATTTGCGAACGCCAGCGAATTGACTCCCATTCTCGCAGCCGTGAAGCACTTTGCTCGCTGCCTAGTCGTGATGGAAATATATCTCTACAGCTCTAGCGACACTACCGAGTCTTGGGAGCGAGTCTTGAAACTGAATCACCCGCATGTGGATAATGGCCTTCAATATGTGCAGTACTGCATGAAAGTCTGTAATCGCATCAAGGTTGGGGAAGTACATAATATTCGCTTTCTAATCTGTCCGACGCATCCGAGATGCGCAATTATTGATGGAATCGAGCTTTCTTTATCGCAACTTGGATTGAAAATGAAGCAATTGCAGAAAATTTCATTGGGATTGATGCAAGAAAAACTGCTCAATGGACTCAGGATTACAGATGCATTCTGGTCGTCCGTTCAAAACCTGGACGACACAATGACAGATCAAACTCCTGGCTACTGGTTTGGAATGCACAAGGCAAACCAATATCATCTTTTTCATTGGTCTCAGGCCTTACAAGGCAAACTGAAGCCCTTACTCCTGGAATCGGACACATCCCTGAACGAAGACAAAGCCAGAGCATATCTACAAGATTGCGAAAGTCTACAAGAACATATATATACGCTCTTGCAGGTATGCTCAGGAGCACCGGCAAGGACATCCGAGTTGGGGATTTTGCGGGTTTGCAATACGGCAGTAGGACAGCGGAACATCTTCACTCAAGCAGGACTCGTGTTTACTGTCATTACGTATCACAAGGGTCGCAATGTGCACGATGGTGTCGGCCGTCCCATTGCGCGATATCCTGATGCTGTTACTGCGGGTATCTTGCTCATCTACTTAACAGTTATTCGCCCTGTCGAATATGCCCTCGTCGACCTCCTCGCGAAACCCAATGAGGTCCCAGAAGGTTCATCTGTCAGAAAATTTGACCACGTTCATGTGGACAGTGCCATATCACTAGGCGAGAGGCATCGTGACCACCTGTTCGCCAGCCGTGGAGAGCCTTTCGGAATTTGTCGATTGCGCTACTGCTTCGAAAAGGTAATGAAAAGTGCGGGAATCCCAATTGGAACCAGTCAATACCGGCAGTACCACAGTGGAGTAGTGAAAAACTTCCTCGCGCATAGCGAGGAGCACGAAACAAACTGCACGGGAATGCTTCACACCCAGGCAGGACATTCAGAGAATACCGCTCACCAGATATACGGTGTATCCCCCCTTGATATGAAGAAATTGACGGCTAGCCAGCTTGAGCGATTCCGTCAGGCCTCCAAAACGTGGCATGAAGTACTTGGGCTGTTTGACGGGGAGCCGTGTTCTTACGAGAACGCCTACGAGCAGCTGCAAATGACTGCTAGTGCACTGGATACTAATGCATCAGCAGGGACCCATCCGATCGATGTCACAAGTCACATTTCGCGTCTTGAAATGACTCTTCAAACTCGCGTTGAGGTCCTGCACAACGCCATTCTCCATATCTCCGACTCTTTACTTGGGAAAAGGCGACTAAATGAATGGGTTGGTACCGAGGGATACGCCGTTCTGCCCGAGAAGAGAATCTGTCAACCTCCTTCGCTGCTGAAGCAATTGCAGATTTTTCTCAATAAAAGTGACGCGCATTTCAAGTCCCAGGAACAAGAAAAGGCAGTCGTGCATTGTGTAGCACCAAAGAGCGACGCCTTGGTCGTCCTGCCAACTGGTGCCGGGAAGTTGTTGACTTTCATGCTTCCCGCTTTCACTCACAAGACAAAGGTGATGGTTGTAGTCGTTCCACTTGTGGCTCTGCAGCTTGACCTTATCAAACGCTGCGAAGATGCAGGTATCCAAGCCTGTCAGTGGAATGCGCGGGATGTAGCCGGGGCACGTATTGTTGTCGCCAGCGCCGAGCATCTGTCTTCACCAGACTATCAATGTTTCCTTAGGGAACTAAAGGTTATGAATAAGCTGCATGCAATATTCGTGGACGAGTGCCATCTGGTTTTATTATGGCACAGTTTCAGAGAAGCCATGAAGTACTTGCGCGGTTTCATTCGTCCAGAACTCGTCAATGTGCCAGTTATGGCTCTAACGGCAACAGCCCCACCGTCCATTGAACAACAAATTACTTCCGCATGTGGATTGTCAGACTTCATCACTGTGCGTCAGAAAACGTCGAGACGGAACATCAGGTATGAAGTTTACAACGTGAAGAGGCAAAATCTCAATCGTAAGGTGGACGAAATGCTTGACTATTTGCGTAACGTTTCCGGTACATCTCCCTCCAGAGCCATCACTTACGTGCAAACAAAAGATGAATGTGACTCGCTCTGTATGATGTTACAAACCCTGAACCCGGACATGCCTTGCTTCAAATATCATGCAGGTATGGAAAAGGATGACAGAAATGCAATGCAATCCGGCTGGGAAGATGAATCTGATGGACTTCCGCACGTCATGGTTGCAACGAAAGCATTTGGATGCGGCATTGACATCTCCACTGTTCGGATTGTCGTACATGCTGGTCTTCCAAGCACGCTCACTGAGTACGTGCAAGAAAGCGGACGTGCCGGTCGTGACGGCCAACCTGCCAAAAGTACTGTGCTTAATATTATCGATCAGTTCAATCATTCAGTTGAACCGCAATTGTCCGGTTTCGGTCCTGTACATGGGCTTACAGAAGCAGCTGGTGAGTGTCGTCGGTGGCTGGTGGACCTGTTCATGGACGGGTGTTCTGATCACCGACCTTGTCAAGAACGTGGGATGGAGGCTTGTGATATTTGTTCTTCCGAAGGAAGTGGAATACGTTTACGTAGACGTGCTTCCGAATTCCAAAACGAGGACACCTGCAGGAAAGAAGTTCAGATTCGACCTACAAGGAAGCGCGTGAACGCTCCAAAGAGGACAGAATCTCCGCAAACACCATCGAAAGTTGCGCATACTCCATCGGACACGGTTACGCCTTCTCGACGCCCTACTCCATCGGACACGGTTACGCCTCCTCGACGCCCTGGTAAGGACTCGCGAATGAAGGCGTGGAGCAGTTGCGCCTCTGAGACCTCGGCCAGTGCAAAATACATATGCACTGGGTATTCTCCTCGCCTGATCAAGTTCTTTTGTCCTGTATGTAGTGTGAAGAAATCGTCTCTCGTGGAACACAAACCCAATGCCGATGAAAGGTATTGGGCATGCTACAACCGTCGTTGTTTACGATGCGGCCAGGAAGGACATGGCGTGAAACAATGTACGATGTTTCGGGGTATTGTAGGGGCATGTCGCTGTTGTGGTTTCCGCTTCTGTTTAGGGTCTATTGTGCACCCAGCGAAAACCTTTGGTCAGAACAACTGTCCTATCAAGAAGATTATTTCTATGGCTCTTCTAGTTTGGAATGATACAAACATGAGACAAGAGCTTCGTGATGCATTCCAGCATCTCTCTTCTGTGAGGACGGTAGAAGAATTTGAAAAATGGATCCGTGGTAACGAGAACGACTCCGAAGCAGATAAATTTGCAGAAATCGAGGACCCCGGTCTATTCAGGGTCGCTCCATGGCTATTTCAGAATGTTCTAGGAATACGCATGTAGTTTTGGATGATTAATATTCAAGAGTGTTCTAGGAATAGTCACATAGCTTTGAATGATCACGTAAAGTGTAGAATTTCTCATTGGCATTTCTCGGCGTTGGACAGAAGACAGGAGGGCCGGGTATGCGATAGCTGTGCTATGAGTATCGATGTACAAGCAGATGTAACGAGCAATGATAGAGCAATGATCAACAGAATGGTATGGTCTTTGCTAGAAGATGAGATCAGTGGACTACCAAAAACAAGTAAACGCGCTTGCAAAGAGCCGTCGATTATATATGTTTTCATGAAGTTTTTATCTTCACTTCTGCAGATTTGCTTTCTTTGTTACAGGGGGGTCGCCATATAGTGCCATCTTTGTTAGTGTCAGCTCAAACCCCTAATCCCCCATTGAACACGAGCCTAAATCAATGCCATAAAATCACATGCTTAATGCAATTGAACATTCCACTTCACTCGGACCCATATTTCCAACAATATGGAACACACCATACTACCGTGACTACCACACACTATGAGACTCCCACTCCCCCCTAACTTTCAAAACCCATGCGAAGAGGCCATCCCACAAAATCATATAGAAAATAGGCACAGCACTATAGGAGAGTACCTTCCCCCTCTCCGATCGCGACACCGAGCACCGCACTCCTCGTCGCTAACTCTGAGCTAATGAAGAAGTTCAATAAACTTCGAAACGTTCCCAACTGCACGCTAGTACTAGCCACCAATAGCATCCAACCCCTATAACCTATATTCCCCCTAACCCCGCAGGTATACCCCGACCCGGTGTCCCAAGTGGGCACAGCCAATGGACGGGTGTCGTGGATGAAAGGAACGATTGCATGAAAGTCACAGTGTCAGGGCGAAGGCGTAGATGTGCGAGGTGATAGTTGTACGAATTCTGTAGCCAATGGACGGGTGTCCCAAGAGAGAATGGCCAATGGATGGGTGTCTCCAGAGGGAATGGCCAATGGATGGGTGTCTTAGATGGAAAGCAGCAGTCAAAAGAGAGAGAGCCAGTGAGTACAGTTTTAAGGCGGGAAAAAGGGCATTCAAACCTGAAAGGCGGGAAGAGTGGGATTCAAAGTAGCCAACAGGTGAGTGCCATGTCAAGAATGATCATAACGAGGGCTGCGACAGGGATGAAACCAGCGATGAAACCTTCCATCCGACGAATAGGCCTTCCGTCCGAGATTCGGGACTTCCATCCGCCACGGAGCGTGCGGAGTGTTTTGGCCCGTGCTTTGATATAATTTTTGCAGATATTTTATGGAGCCAGTAGGCCTTCCATCCCAGGAAGGCTCTGTCAATGGACGTGACTCTGCATTTGGGCACCTTACAAGTGCTTGCGGTGGTTGATTGTACGTTATTGCTGTAGAAAGTACGCCTCTGCATGATATTGTACGTTGCATATTGTGAAAACATTTGTGATGGTTTTAGTGGGGTTGGTATCATCTTGCTGCAGTTCATGCATTTCTTACTATACTTGAGAGTGTTTTACACGTATCGAGGGGCATCATGGAAGGTCTTTCTTTGCGGCCTTTTATTCTACTGCAGCTTTGGTAGGGATACATCTTCCCAGTTGAGATCACGTTACAATGTGTTTGGTTCGCACGTTTATGTGTAGCCATAGCAGTTTGTCATCCGGAAAATGTGTATCTAAATCCTCCAAGTTCATGCTGCACATGTAATCCCCATGTTACGTCAGCGTACTGGTATGTACTGTGTGAACATTTTCCCTTCCTTTAACCCGTACACGTATGTTGAACAAACATGATACACCTTTTACATAAATGGGGGATCTTATTTGTTCATACAAGACAATTTGTGGTAAAGTTCTATAATTGTAACTACACTCTTCCACCGTAACATCGTCAAGTTAAAAGAAGTGAAATTATTGTCATTCTTACATTTAGTATGATAATTTAATACATTCACTCATATCAGCTGGTATGTGTGGGATAGTTCTGTTTTTTTAATTCCTGCATGGACCAGTCCTTCGAATAATACGCAAGGGCTTAGGCATATTGGCGCCACAATAGGATTTGTATTCTGTTTGCAGTGCGCCTAGTTTATGCCAACTAGTTTTTTAAATTTTTTAATTGTCCGTTGAGGGTGGTGGCTTATCCCTTAATAATAAATTTTAAAGCATCAGCAGTACGCAGTACGACTGCACAACCGCGTTCAGTAAATGAATGACCATGACGTAGTAATCATGTTTCTATAATGCGGGATGACGTGTAATGTTCGAATTGGTGATGAAAATATATGTCCTTAATGAAAATCGTACAGCATTTGTTCGTGTAATATTTTGAAAAAATATTTCATATATACTATTATAATGTTGCCATTATTTTTATTATTCCAAAACTTTCTCTAGTAGCAATGACGTCATGCTCTACAGAGCACAACGTCGTCATCTTGTTTCCAGGCGGCGGGTGACGTGTTGGATTCAAATTGATTATGAAAATATACGGTACGTCCCAAATCACATGCGTACAGTTTTTGTGGGCTGAAAGACGGTGTGCGTCCCCCTCTCCCCCCCCGCGCCGTAAAGTAGATGTATGCTGTAAAAATTGGCGACATACAATTGAAATCTGCAACATTTATTGACGTTTTTAATATTATTATAAAGGTGACCGACGCCGTCGCTGGTGTCCGACGCCTCTCCAACGAAAACGCAAAATTCGCGCCCCACCCCGTGACGCCCGTTGCGCCATGAGCCTATGACTCGCGCTTGTGCTGTCAACACGTGCGCGTCACACCGCACGACTCCGCGTCCACAGCCGGCCCCTCCCAGCGCTGTAGAGTCGCGCCCCACCCCGTGACGCCCGCTGCATCGTGAGTCTATGGCACGCGCTCGCGCCGTCGACACGCGCGCGTCACACCGCACGACTCCGCGTCCACAGCTGGCCCCTCCCAGCGCTGTAGAGCCGCGCCCTTCCTCGCGGCCGCTGCGCCCCCCCACCTCCCCCATACGGTTGTTTTCAAATAATTTGCATATCCGAGCTATTTTGGCGTTGTCCAAAATGTAGGGCAACCCCCCTTCAGTTGTTCAATTATTCGAAGTCTGACAAGATGAGAGACGCGTCAGCGATTTTTTGTACCTAGCCGTCGAAACCTCCCCCACGGAGCACTGGGAGGCTTTTGGCCTTATGATCGGTATGTATATATGATATGTATGCAACTGTACCAGTATCGTTCTATCGTTCTTCTCGTCTTTGTCCAAGTTTTTCCATCACTCCTGTGACGTTGAAATCTCGCATCCGCTCTTGCAATGACCTTCAAACATTCAAGCCAACATGCCAATGAGTCGCCCGTGACACTCTTCAGACACTCTTCTCCCACGTCCGTCCCTCTTCCACCCTTTCCTTTCTCCCTCGTCCCTCGATACAGCGTCCCGCTCGTCCGTCCCTCTTCCACCCTTTCCTTTCTCCCTCGTCCCTCGATACAGCGTCCCGCTCGCTGCCCGCACACATGCCTTACGAATGATAGGTTGCCCATGTCCCATTCGCGATGCTCTATGCAGGTGGCGTGAACGCCACCTGTTCAGGTCGAACCCTTCCATCTCGCTCGTACTGTAGCGCGGCGACGGCCGCATCTGCACTCTCGCTTCAAACTCTACCGACACCACCCGTTTCGCACACTTTGAAACACGCAAAAAAAATTTACTGAACGACAAACACACGATGAGCACGCATTACTTACAACTAAAGCCTTTTCCTCCAACCTTGGTCCCACGTCTCACTCCCTTCCGCCAAGCAGAGCTGTAGCAAACCCCCTCATCACTTCTATCGTATCACGACCGTAGTCCCTCAGCCCCGCAATCTCCCGGCGCGCCTGTGACACCGCATCTCCAATGTTCCCGTCGGCGAGTAGTTGAAACTGCACCTCGTTCAGGCGGTGCAGCATCAGTTCCTGTGATGCAATTCGTCCAGCGATGCTCTGTAGACACCGCTGCAACCCCGCTGCCATCGGCTCCGACGCCGACGGTAGGGGAGATGGCGCATCCGTCATGTGCGAAGCACCCTCCATCCCGCAAGCGATTGCCGCCAGCACTTCGTCGCTCTCCGTGCTCATCGACAATGGGAGTGCTGGTGAACACACTTGGTCTTCATATCTATCGCCCAGCGTGCCCTCATGCTCACCCTGCATCTCCTGCGTCCTCATCACATTCGCGTGCAACGTCATCGATCCAAATAGATGTGATACTCCATTTTCGTTGCCCTGTAGGCTTCCACCCTCGCCTTCAGTGATGTGGCCATCGGGAGCGTAGCCTCCTGCCACCGGCCAAGGGACGCATTTG